TCTCTCTCTCTCTCCGCAGCTCCGTGGTGCTTTTGCTCCTACGCTCGATACAAACTCGTCGGACGCGGCAGAGTTTTCGTTTGAAGCTACCATCCGGGGCTTACGATATATAACCCCGCACTCACACCGCCGTCGCTTCCTCGTCTTGACGTCGACCTCTCGGCGTCGTTATATCTCGACGGCGGGATGACTCGCGGCGGTGCCAGCGTCGCGGCGAGAGAGCACGCCCTGCACGAGAAGACGCGCCGTCATTTAGGCAAGGCAGGGGGAAACGGAAGGTCTGCACGGATAAATGATACTTCGCTCACTGTACCGCAGCCTCCCCCGCGCAGCGTCCGTCCGCGTTATCTCTTCCTGCTCCTCGCGACTGCCGTTTCCACGACGGCAGGAACTCTCCGCTATCTGCTGAACGCAATTAGTCGCGATAATGCAAAACCTGGGGAACTTTGCCTACACGGACGACGGCGCCGAAGAGATCAACGATCGGATCGCGTGACGAAACGCTCAACGAAGTGAAACTTCAATGAGTGCGATATTACGTAATGATAATTATATACGTCAATCGGATATTATTTTCTCATTTCTCCGTCAACGGCATTTTAATGTTTCGCTTATCAGCGGCTTTATCGTCGCCCGTTCACCTCTCGCACACACATCACCGTTAGCTCGTGTCGCACTCCTCACAGACAAATAAAACGCTGTCATTCGTAGGGAATAAAAGGCGAAGAATTGAACGCAGAGAAAAATTACTATCTCTTTTTTTTTCTCTTCCTCTCTCTTTCTCTCTTACTCTCTCTCTCTCTTTCTCACTTCGTTCGTTTCCTTTGTATTCCCGTTGCGCTCTCTGTCTTCCCTTCGCTCTTTCTCGCCGCTCGTTTGCGATTCCATTGCTCTGTGACCCTTCGCGACCTGACGGTTTTACCACCCACACCCGGCACGAACATCGCCGGGCGAGCCATGGTTTCCTCTTAAAGCTCGTTTGTGTCGAGCTCATCGTGCCGCCATGCGCGCCAGCGAGCTCGATCGAAGACGCGAACAGAGATGCGATTAAAACGCGAATGACGCAATAAATCCTCATGAAAAATTTACGATTTTATTTTCCATACACACTTAACGCCGAGAACTATTCTCGATTCTATTCCGTATTCGTATCTCGTCTAACGTTATGTGTGTGCATATGTACGATGCATATACGAAATGTTAGCTCGCGTTGAGAATAAAATGATCATATTTAGCGCTGAATGTAGGGTACACGAATTTATTTCGCCGAAAGTACGATCGAACGCAATTAATGTAAATGAAAATCAGACGGCCACTTTCAGCGGTAAATGCATCGTAAAAATACAGACTGTGAATCCGTATTTTTAACGCGTATTTAATATTGAATAAATCATTTAGGACATTAAATATGTTTGCAATAATGCAATAATTTATAATATACAGTATGATTCAATAAAACTGAGATATTTAATATTGTATCGCGAGTGAATATTCGGATTTTTTGGATTAATTCAAAAGAACTGTTTATGAATTAAATTTAACTTTTTTGAGAGTGAGAGAAAAAGAGAGAGAGAGAGAGAGAGAGAGAGAGAGAGAGAGAGAGAGAGAGAGAGAGAGAGAGAGAGAAGTAAGTAAGTAA